TGTGGCCGTGGTGCAGAGACTTATATAATGGAGTCCTTTAAATCTTAGTACAGTCTTATAGATAAAAATTGTAGTGTTAGAAAATATAATAAGCCTAATAAGGTCAAGAGCATGTGATCTTCCATCCATAACGACACTGGATGGTTATTATTAATGTTTAAGATGGAAGTCTATTTCATTTATCTGCTTTTAATTCTTTCGTAATGCTGAAACATGCGAGGATATATCTTCTATATTCAATAGAAGTATCGAGATCAACGTTAATGTTGTCCGGAAGCATAACTAGACTTTGAGTTCTTCATCAATATCACCGATGAGCAGTCTTTAAGGTTCTTGAATATACATTTTGAGTATTAATACAAAAAAATTGTCCACAATCTTGGCATTCTTGAAAATTACATCATCAAGTAGAATTCTTTGTAAATTTCTCCAGCTGATGAGTAGATCTTGACGATTTCTTCATGGTTTATATTTGCATAATTTGTTTTCAGGGTTGTCTGTGTAATATCTGCTCTTTCCTTTCATCAGTATCATTAACCGATTTAACATACCTTAAATTCATGAAATTGACAGCAAGTATTTTGATTAGTATCTATGTAGCTACACTTATCCTGTGAAAAAAGCGGAGAATCACTTTGTAAGAGAAAGTTAAGTAAATTGGGAATGTCCAATGCATAACTCAATGAAAACTCGCACGTGAGGATTCGGAAAGTAGGCCAGAACAAGTTTATTTGTATGTGTAGAATTTTTGAAGATAAGCGATTAGTAATATAACTGCAACGTAGCCCACTACTGAAGCAGCCTTGATATACAATGCTTCAGTGACAATATTTTAATATAACTACAATACATAATAATTACCAAGTTAAACAAATTTGTATTTTTGACGTATTTATACATTTACATGTATGTATGTACATTTACAGATGTATACATCCAACTTGAATAAATATATATTTTTTTCTGCAATACGGAAGAAATAATTCAAACAAATGAGTAGTGTAGCCCATACATCTAAATGAAAAACTTTATTTCATTTTGTGCCACGAGTGCGAAAAACCAACAGCAGTACCATCCTTCTGTTTGATTTTGCAACTGTATCTTCAGTCTGAACCTTAAACCGTTGTTGCCACCGACTTGACTGAGCCATTTCAAATTGTTGTGAACAGTCTACAGATTGAACTTTTGACCTCAGAGGTAAACATGGAGCTACTCAGTTGTTCACACAATACTCGGCAACCATTCTTGATTATATATTGTTTCCTGTTTAACAAACTTATGAAGCCTAGCATGGCCTGGTGGCTAAGGCGCTTGACTTGGTGTTTGAGGGTCCTATAATAAAACATGTTCGCCCTTTCAGCCTACGGGGTCGTTATAGTGTGACGGTTAGTCTCACTATTCGTTGATAAAAGCGTAGCCTAAGTGTTGGCGGATGACGTTGGCTAGCTATCTTCCATTTAGTCTATCACAGTTAAATTAGGGACGGCTAGCGCAGATAGCCTTCTTGTTTCTGAGCGGAATTAGAAAGAAACAAACAAACAAAACCAACATACGATTATATATACAATGATTTGTTCTTGGTGTTCTACATTTACTTAGCTGAGAATACATATATATGTATCAAG